TATGTAGGAAATCCTTGATAGGGAGGGAGAACAATGTGGAACAAAACTCAAAATCATTTGGAGAAAAAAAAAAGGGGGGGAACCAGGTTTTCTGGTCCGATAGAGCCTGGTGGAACCACTGAGACTATGGTGCCTAGCTGCCCTTCAGGTCTGGAAATGAACCCACACCTGTGGCTTCCAGCCAAACCAAAGATAGGGATATGAGTTGAACATTTACCTCAGGTAGATACACTCCTTGAAGAGAACAATCAGGGGAGAAAGAAGGGCTACTTATGCACAGGGAGACAGCTCAGAGGGCAGGAGTGCACTGAGGGATGAACACTGGGAAGAGGTAACTATAGGGAGGAAGGGGAAGGGGAGCTGTTGCATTGGGGTAAACTGTGGTCAATGTCATGAGACAAAGTGTATGTGAGCTGCTGTATAGAAAGTGAATTTGCTCTGTAAATCTTCCACCCAAATCACAATGAAAAAAAAGAGACCACTACACACTTTTATAAGTGCCTAGTGAGAAGGCAAACTTGTACAACCATTTTGGAAAACAATTATCTTCTATAATTTGAGCTATGTATACTCCTTTTTCAATTGCCTCATATGCATATGAAAGCTGAACAATGAATAAGGAAAACCTAAGAGTTGATGCTTTTAAATAGTGGTATTGGCAAACAATACTGAAAATACTATGGACTGTCAGAAGAAAGAACAAATCTGTCCTGGAAGAAGTACAGTCAGAATGCTCCTTACAAGCAAGAATGGTCAGACTTTGTCTTACCTACTTAGGTCATGCTGTCAGAAAGAACCATTTCCTGTAGAAAGATACCATGGTTGCTGTCATCAAGTTGATTCTGACTCATAGCAACCCCCGCAACTGGGTTTCCGAAGCTGTGAATTTTTATGGAAACAGACTGTCTCATCCTCTTCCCACAGAGCACCTGGTAGGTTTGAACCACCTACCTTCTTTAGCAGTTCAATGTCTTATGTACTGCACAACCAGAGCTCCTTTGATAAAGTAAAGGGTCAGCAAAAAAGGGGAAGACTCTCAACAAGATGGTCTGACACAGTGGCTACAACGATGGGCTCATGCATAGCAAGGATTGTGAGGATGGCACAGGACTAGGCCATCTTTGTTCTGTTGTGTATATGGTCACTATTGAGTTGGAGCCAATCTGATGGCTCCTAACAACAACAACATACTCTTTGAACCAGTAATTCTACCCTTAAGTATATATCAAAAGAAACACAGACATATGTCCACCTAAAGATAAGTACAATAATGTTCACAGCAGCATAACTTAAAAAGCTAGGAAAAAACCCAAATGTGTAACTATAATGTTTAGAAAACATACTTAAGTGGTAAAACTATATAGAAAAGGAAGCCAGCACCACCAAGGATGGCAGTAATCTTTTGAGTGGGGGGAACGCTAAAATGCTGACAATGTTCTTTTTCTTGTGGTAGTTATATGAGGATTCACTTTGAGATAATGCACTGATTTGTACATGTATGCTATACCCACTTCCCCATATCTATGTATCTATGCTAACTTCACAGAGGGAAAAAGAAAAAAAAAAAAAGGTGCAAATATCTAAACTCAGCTTTGGTGCTAGCTGCTAGTTACACCTTATCAGTTAAATTACTTTTCGTTTTCCATTCACTAGCTTGAAAATTCAGGGCTTTTCCCCATAGAACGTTAAATACAAAAATTAAATGATACCAAATTGTACTGAAAACTTAACATATTAAATGCCAAATATATTACGGTCTCAAATTAATGTTCTCAAAACACACAAACACACATACTTTACAGAACCATAACTACTACTTGGGAGGAAAAATTTGTTATTAATAAAAATAATACCTAGAAATTAAGTAATTAACCTGTCAAAATAATTTCCTAATTTATTATCAACAGTAGTATTACATTTTAGATTACTAAACTTCTGTAAGATGTTTATTAGAGAAATTCCAAACTTACCTCTCTGTTGGGTGTATCTTCATCAAGTTCCTCTGTAAATGAAGATGTTCTGCTTCTGATTCTTGTTGGGGTTGAAGAATTGGAGGAAGCCTAGATTGAAAAATCATTGAACAAATTAGAAAGATTACACTGACTACCTCACCATGTACTACACTGTATACGGGATGGTCTGTCTCTCAGCCCATGCACAAAGAAGCTAATGAAAGAAAGGAAAAGTGCAAATACACAAGAAACAGAAATGGGTAACCGAAATATAATCAACGAGAAGACCCAAGCTATCTAATGGGTCCGTGGCCTGACTCTGCCACCAAGTAGAACTATCTTAGCTAAAATTAACTTTTTGAGGACTGTGTGTCCTCAAGATACATAAGGTTGTAACGTTAACATAAGGTGGTAATATTAAGGGAAATTGGCCCTTGGAGAGGGACATACAGAATCTCTTTGTATTATCTTTACGACGTCTCTGTAAATCAAAATTATTCAAAAATAAAAAAAAATTTAAAAAAAGTTTCTCAATTCAATATTTAAAGTCCTTTCCAGCTCTAACACTCAATACCGAGGAATGCACAGGTCAAGAGCACCTCCTCACCTCTCCAATTCAGGCCTTGTTTTAGCCTACCCTGTACACCCCAACTGGATACTGAGATGTCAATTTATTTAGCTCTGGAAAGGAAGCCTGGCTTCTATAATCTGCAGTACAAAACCCTCAAGAGAGGGACTCAAACAGATACTTATACACCAATGTTTATCACAGCACTATTTACAATAGCCAAAAGGTGTAAACAATCTAAGTGTTCATCAACGGATGAAAAAAATGCAGCCAGGAAAAAAAAAAAAAAAACCACTGCCTTCAATTCAGATCCAACTCATAGAGACCCCTCCTTGGGTTTCCAAGGCATTATCACTACGAAAGTAGATTGCTCAACCTTCATTCCGAAGAGTGGATGGTGGGTTTAAACTGCCAGCCTTCTGGTTAATAGTCAAATGCCTTAGACACTATGCCAACGCAGCCAGAATGAACCTTAAAAGAAAGAATGACCAGGACTTCATCTCACCTACTATGTTCATGTTGTCAGACGGACAGGTCCAGTCTCTGCTTTACCAAGTATGGGGTCAGCAAAGGGTCAGCAAAAAAGGGGAAGACCCTCAACAAGATGGATTGACACACTGGCTGCAATGATGGGCTCAAGAATAACAAGGATTGTGAGGATGATGCAGGACTGGACAGGGTTTTCTTCTACTGTAGGTAGGGCTGGTATGAGTCAAAGCCAACTTGATGGCACCTAACAACAACAACAACATATCCATACAATGGAGTATGATTCAGCCATAAAGAGAAATCAAGTTCTGATACACACAAAGACATGGATGAACTCTGAAAACACTATGCTATGTGAAAGACACAAAGGAATGTATGATTGCATTTTTACAAAATATTCAGAATAGACAAATGCTTAGTGACACAAGTTTATTAGTGGGGAGGAGGAATGGGAATTATTGCTTAAGAGACACAGAGTTCTTTGGAGTGATAAAAAAACTTTGGAAATAGATAATAGTGATGGTTACACAATGTAATGAGTAATTAATGTCACTGAATGTCAATTAATGTCACTTAAGAAATGGTTAAAATGGCAAAATTTTTGTCGTGTATATTTACCATGAAAAAAATTTAAAAAAACTTCAGGAGAAAGGGGCCAAACACAACTACAAGTTTCAGGTCTAATCTAAGCTTTGTTGCTGTTGTTAGATGCCATCGAATCATTTCCAAGTCTGTGCAGTAGAACGAAACACTTTCTGGTTCCATGCCAGATCCGTGATCTTTGCTATACTTGAGCCCATCGCCACAGCCACTGTGTCAATCCATCTCATTGAGGGCCTTCCCTCTTTCATTGACCCTCCACCTTACCAAGCATGATATCCTTCTCCAGGGAATGGTCCCTTCTGACAACATGACCAAAGTAGGTGAGATGAAGTCTAGCCATTCTCACTTCCAAGGAACATTCTGGCTGCACTTCTTCCAGGACAGATTTGTTAGCTCTTTTAACAGACCACAGTACTTTCAGCATTCTTCATCAGCACCACAACTCAAAAAGTATCTACTCTTCTTCGGTCTTCCTTATTCATTGTCCAGCTCTCACATACATATGAGGCAATTGAAAATATCATGGCTTGTGTCAGGCACACCTTAGTCCTCAAAGAGTCATCTTTGCTCTTCAGCACCTGAAAGAGGTCCTTTACAACCAATGTGCCCAGTGCTATACGTCGTCTGATATCCTGACTGCCACTTCCGTTACTGTTGACTGTAGAACCAAACAACTATCTGTGACAACTTTTCCATTTATCGTGATGTTACTTATAAGCCCAGTTGTGAGGATTTTTGTTTTCTTTGTATTGAGATGTAATCCATACTGCAGACTGTAGTCTTCAATCTTCATCAGTAAGTGCTTCACATTTAAGATTATTAAATATTTATCATCTGCAAAATGTAGATCTTACAATGTTGATTGCACAAATAAACCCTAACAGAATGAAATATTTCCCAGTCCTGTATTATCTTCGTGATCATTAGTATATTTGAGTACATATTTGCAGTTATTATTATGTCTGGTAGCGTAGTGCCTAAGGCACTTGACTGCTAACCAGAAGGCTGGCGGTCAAACCCAGCAGCCACTCCTCAGAAGGAAGATGGGGCAATCTACTTCCATAGTGATACTGCCTTGGAAACCCAAGGAGGAGTCGTTATGAGTCGGGTCCGACTTGATGGCACATAACAACAACAACAAACAACATGTCAATCCATCACATGGAGAGCTTTCCTTGTCTTCACTGACCTTCTACCGTACCAAACATGAGGTTCTTTCCTAACAACTTGTCCTTCCTGATGATGTATCCAATGTAAGCAAGCTAAAATCTAGCCATTCTTAATTCTAAGGAGTATTGTGGTTGTATTCTTTCTAAAATGGATTTGTCCATTCTTCTGGCAGTCTGCAGGCCATTCAATACTCTTCAATTCAGTGCATGAATTATTCTTTCTTCCTTTTTCATTATCCAAATTTCACAAGCATAAGAGGCAAATGAAAAGACCATGGCTTGGGTCAGGTACACCTTGATCATCAAAGGGACATCTTTGCTTCTAAAAACTTTAAGGGGTCTTTTGCAGCAGATTTACCCAATGCAATACATCATAGGATTTCTAACCTGCTGCTTCCTTAAACGTTGGCTGTCAAAGATCAGAGCCTTACCTCACATTTGTTGTTGTTATCGGCTATCAAGTTAGCCCCTATCTCATGGTAATCCCATGTACATAGAGCTTTCATTGGCTAACTTTCAGAAGCAGATCACCAGGCATTTCTTCCTAGTTTGTCTTAGTCTGGAAACTCCACCAAAAGTTGTTCAACATCACAGCAATACTCAAGCCTACACTGACAGGTGATGGCTGCACTTGAGGTGCACCGTCAGGAAATTGAAGCCATGTCTTCTGCATGAAAGAAGAAAATTCTACCACTGAACCATCACTGCCCTCTACTGATGACTTCAAAAGAAAAAAAACACTGCCATCAAGTCAATTCCGAGCCACAGCAACCTCCACTAGGTTTCCAAGACTTTATATATTTACAAAAGTAGATTAACTCATCTTCCTCCCATGGAGCAGCTGGTAGGTTTGAACTGCCAGCTTTCTGCTTAGCAACCAAATACTTAAGCTATATTAAAAACTGGAATGCCACCAATAAGTAAATAAATATTGAAAGAAAATACAAGGTGTATTTGTGCAATCAACATAGTAAGATCTACATTTTGCAGATGATAAATATTTAATAATCTTTTTCTAACAAAAATGTCTGAGAAGAACATAAGTTAGAAAACTCAACAGCCCAATCTTCTTTTTCTTCTTAGGACAGGTGATCAGTGTTACCAAACAGACAAATCTGCATGAGACCCTGAGTCATAAGTGAGCAATGGGAGAAAACACACAAAATTCAAGATCAAGGGCTTCCAATAAGATGGCAGAACAGGCAGACAAGCTACACAGACTCTCTTCAACAAAGAAAAGAGAAATCAATTCACACAGCTACAGAAGATTATCCTGGATCCTTAAGCTTTGAAAGGAAGGATATAGAATTAGATTAAACACTAACAAACAGAAGAACCATGGAGCTCTGGTGACACAGTGCCCAAGATATATGACAGCTAACAAGAAGGTTGGCAGTTCAAATCCACCAGCCACACCATGGAAGGAAGACCAGGTAACATACTTCCATAAAGATTTACCACCTCAGAAACCCAAAAAAGGTCACTATTAGATGGAATCAAGTCCATGGCAGGAAGTTTGGTTTTTGGTTTGAGCAGAAGAACCTGAATGAAAACAGTCAGGAAGGAGACAAATAGAGCAGCAAACTGTCAGCTATCCTGATGGCATGGACAGCCTGAATATTTCAAAGTGGTGTTGGGACCTAAGAATTAACCTAAAAATTGGTGCTTGTGTGAGTTAAACATTTACCTCAAGTAGACACACGCCCTGGAGAGAACAATCATGGGAGAAGGAAGGGCTGCTTATGCACAGGGAGATAGCTCAGGGTGCAGAAGAGTATGAAGGGATGGACCCTGGGAGGAGGTAACTATGGGGAGGAAGTGGGAGGGGAGCTGCTGCATTGTAAATTTTGGTCAATGACATGAGACAAAGTATATGTGAACTGCTGTATGAAAAGTTAATTTACTCTGTAAATCTTCACCCAAATCCTAATTTAAAAAAAAAAAAAATTGGTGCTTGCCAAGAGCTGCATAGACGACTGTGCCAGGGCTGGTAACTAAAAAGGGAAACAGCAAAGAAGGAGACAAACTGAGCTGTGGACTTTCAGTTGTCCAAAGGGTGCAGCCATTTTGAATGTTTACAAGCAACGGCTGGGCACAACCATTTTGAATGTTTACAAGCAGTGGCCATTTTGGATATTTAAAGTAATAGGATCTCATTCAGATTCCAGGGACCTAAGAATAGGCTCCTCTTGCCAAAGACAGTATGGACACATAAGAAGCTGACAACTGGAAAGGAGACAGGCGGTGAGTACATAAGTGCTGCCAACTAATGAACTAAT